CACTCCCCTCCAGCTGGCTGTATGGAAAGGAAATCGCCTGTCCCCTTCCCTCGCGCCTCTGTCCGCCTCTGTCCTCCTCTCCGCAGAACCCGGTTGTGTTGCTATGAGCCTCAGATCCAAAGTCGGCCAGCCTCTTGTTTCCGCATCACTTCCTTTGTGTTTATATGGCGTTTTGTCTGTGTTGCTGTTTAGAGTAAATAAACTGTTTATATAAAGGTTTTTGTTGCATTATTGTCATTAAAAGTATGAGGAGGCAGCCTCAGGGGGTATCTCCCCACCCCCTTTCCACTGCAGGCCCCACAGAGCACCGCCTTCGGCCCCAGCAGGTCTCGCTGCCTGTTCCTGGGTCCTGCGTGGCACCTGTCCCGGTCCTTTGTAAATAGTGCTGTGTACAGAGATGCTGTGTGTCCGGGGTTTCTGTCCACCCCGCTTGGGTCTTCGGGCTGTCGAGCACTGGAGTTCAGATCTGGTCAAGTTGGAATTTGTGTCGAGACACCTAAAGCACGCTCTGCCTGAGCCATCAGGAGGAGGTGCCTAAACCCAGGCCAGGGTGGCTGAGCCATGGCATGCAGCCTCCTCACATCCGGCACTGCTCTTGGGCCTCTGCATGTAGCCTCCTGGCCCTCCACGCTCACCGCATAAGTCCCCACCCCTGGGCGGAGGTAGTCTCGGGCACCGGGACACCCCTAGCGAGCAGCTCCGAGGGCCACTGTCAGGTTCTTTCTGTGTCCTGAAACGCTCTGAACCTGGGAGCCCAGGGAGGTTGCTCCCAGAAAGAACCCTGGAACATGAGCCCACAGCGGATCTTCCAGATGTCCTGAGTCCTGGCTCAGTGGAAGTGTGTACATGGAGACAGGAAGTGACAGAGGGGACCTGGCCTCTGGGTCCCAGTGAGCACGCTGACAAGTACAGAGGTCCAGACGTGGCCCTGTATCAACCAGTCTTGCCCTCCCGCCCGAGGACCCTTTCAGAACCAGGCTGCCTGTGGCTCTGGCATGCAGACTGAGGTGGGGGTAGTCCCCCAAGGGGTGAGGTCAGCCAGGAAGGGGTCCCTCTGTTCACCCTAAGAAATGTGGCCCCTCAGCCAACAGCATGGCCCAAGGGCCCAGTGCCTTGTTCACTTGCTTAGCTGGACGTCTGTTGGGTTTCTGAGCTCTCGGTTTGATGTTCATGATTATTTCTAATGCAGAGGGTCTCATGTGGGGGGTTCAGTGGGTCATATGTGTATAGCCCCTCCCAGAATGTCTTATTTTGTAATGACTGAATTACACTTAGTAATAGTTACACATGTATATGGTTAATATATATGGAAATGCAATATATTTTCTAGTTAAAGCATTCTAAAGTAATCGATGTTTCTAGCACATTGTCGTGACTTTGGCTAATGAAATGTCCTTTTGTGCCACAGTTCTTGGCTTAACAAAGATGTGAATCTTGTAACAGGAGAACTATGAAATGTGATCATTCTGTTTCTACTGTAAGGGAAGAGAGTGTGTTCCCAGCATGAGGCGCCTAATTAGTGAGGAATTGTGGGCAATAGATTAACCACTGTATCTAAGAATCCTCTAATTAAAACATTTCCACAAACTGCTGCCTGCAGGGTGTGTCCTTTCCTGCCCCCTCCCACACAGGCCACCCCTGCTCCCTATTGCTGTGGTCTCCAGGATTAGACCCTCAGTGACCCAGGGGTGGGGGTGATGTCCCCTGGTGCTGTGGTCAGATCCCTCCTGTGCCCGCTGAGACCCTGGCATAGGCAGGCAAGGTTGGCACACATCTGTGCTGGCCACTGGCCGTGCCCTGTGTCTTCGTGGACTGCTGGAGCATGGTCTCCCGGCTGGGCATCTGGGGCTGCTGTTGTCACCTAGATGGACCTTCTCGGGGAGCAGGACGCCATCCTCACAGCCAAGGTGCACATGTGCTCTCAGTTCAGACCCTGAGAGGGCCCCTGGGGTGTTGTGTCCAAGGCTGGCGGGGGCTTGATCTGGCCATGGCCTGGGTGCAGAGCAAGAAGCCCGACCACGGGCGGGATGGGGCTAGCTAGCCCTCTGCCTCCATCTCCCCAGGGGTGACTGCTCAGAGGCCCAAGTCATCTGGCCAGGCTCGGGGTCCCCTGTCCTTCCTGGACTGTCCCGGCTGGGCCAGTGCTCTGTTCTCACACCTGTCTGCCCACACTGCTCCCTGACCTGCTGGCCCAAGGCCTTCCCACATCAAGCTCTGCCATGAGCAGCCTCCAGTTTGAGACTGAAGACAAGTTGGCAGGTCCAGGCCCAGCATTGATAGGCTGAGTCAGCTTCCGCTGGGAGGCTGAGGGGCACCTGTGTGGCAGGGGCCCAGGAGACACAGGCTTCCAGCACAGTGACCCCATGCGGAGGCTGTGGGCCCCACGGGGCTGGAGCACCAGGGTCCCATCCTCCCTGCTGCCCCCAGGCCCCACAACTGGCTCCAGCAGTTTGGCCCAAAGGCTCCGGCATCTGTTAGGAGGCCGTTTGCCCTGATCTAGAAGAAAATAAAGCAGCAGAGTCACAGAGCACAGACCTGGGTTCCTCCCTCCTGAGCTCTGCCCTTCCAGGTGCCCACCCACCCCTTCCAGGATGCCCTCCTGCAGAAAGGTCAGCTGGGTGCTCATGCTGCCCCTTCCATTCCTCCAAGGAGGAAGGACTCGGGCCTCCAGAGCCAGGGACAAGGCATCTCAGCCCTCAGCTGTGCAAAGAATGGTGCTGTTCTGTGGAGGAGTGGCTGCTGGGTCCCTGAGACTGCCCTGGCCCCACCAAGTGGTGAGTGCGGGAGGTGTCCTTGCCGGGGCCACACCTCTGCTCCTGGGCCAGAAGCTGACAGGAAGGCCAGCGGACAGACAATGGATGGTGCTCTGCTGCCATGTCCCAGGCCTGGCACAGGCTCATCTGTGCAGGTACTGGCAACAGCAGGACCCCACTGAGCTGCTGGTGACTGCGCCCCAGGAAGCAGCCTCTCAGGCAGGGGGCCATTTGGGCGAGACCCCTTCCCACCTGGAGCCACCTCTGCTGGCAGAACCACTCAATGGCCCAGGCGATGGAACAGATTCCCGCAGTCCTCAGGGTCCTGCCACGAGGGCAGGCAGGAACCCTGGCCCCACTCCCGTGGCCCGCCCCTTTTCCTGCCTCTGTCCTGGACTGGCGCAGAGGCTAGAGGGCCTGGGAGGACCCTGACTGCCAGGAGGCCAGGCCTGCAATTCCAAGGGCTGCCCCCAGAGAGTGTGAGCTGGTGGGTTATTTAAGCCTGTAGGGGTGGGGTGGACTCACCCGTGTCCTCATCTCCTGTGCCAGCCTTTCCCTGCTCTGCATTGGCCTTCAGAGTGCTTATCCAGAGCCCAGAGCCGGGTGTTATTCTCCTGGCCCTAGGAGGGAAAGCCACCCCCCACCCCCAACACACACACACCTGCCAGGCGCTTTGCTGTCAGAGCCCAGAGGGTATGACCCCCACCTCCCCACCAGCTCCACAGAGCCCTGACCTCTAGGCAGAATGTTGTGCCCTAACAGCTGCTGTGACGTGACCCCCTCCTGCCCCCCACCTCCCCTTACCACCTCCCAAGCAGGGCAACTGGCTGTGCTGCTCAGGACCACTGTCAGGGGTCTGGGCCAGAGGAGCCAGGGTGACACTGACTCAGGTGGGCCCGACTTCAGTCTCAGAACAGGTCAGGAGAATGAAGGGATCAGCTACAAATGGGACCATCGCTCCAGCCCCTGGCAGTGTGTGTGGAGGGAAGTCCTAGGGCTCATCCTTTCCTAGGGAAACAGGCTCAGGGCTCAGCTTGGGACCCAGCCTGTTGCTGTGGGAAAGGGCCCTAGACGAGCCCTTTCCCCCCTCTGGGCTTCAGTTCACCTATCTACAGAGAATGGTGAAGTCTCCTGGGGCCTTCTGCCATCTGGCTAGTTAATTAGTTTCAGGGCTGGTGCCTCCGCCCTGGGCCGCCCCTGGGTCCCCCAGGGCATGGGTGGGTGGTACAAGGAGGGGCCTCCTCCCCTAGCAGCAGCCCCTCCTAACTTCCTGTTTACAGCTGCTACAGAGTCTCAGTTCTTTCTCCCAAGCCATTATGATCACCATGGCAACCGGACTGGTGTTTGTTCCAACAGGTTGATAGAACCTGACAAAATTGCAGGGGTGGGGGCACCAGTTCCAAGATCCTGGCTCAGGACCTGCCAGTCCCCGGGGGAAGGACAAGCTGCCCCCATACGGATTGCTGCACCCCGCAGAAGGAAGCCCAGTAGCAGCTGGTGGCATGACTCCAGGCCCCGCTCCTGCCGTGACTCATCTCTGTCCCAAGCAGCCCATGCATATCCTCAACAGCCTCTGCCTCATCTCCCTGGCTGTGCTGGGTCAGGGTGGAAGTAGGGCCTCGGGACAGAGCTTATAGGAAAACCTAACCTGCAATTCTGTCCCCGCACCCTGCAATGCAGTCTCTAATCCCCCTGCAGTGCCTCTCTCTCTCCCTCTCTCTCTCTCTCTCTCTCTCTCTCAGGGTAATTCTTTGTTTCTTCCTACAACGATGGGTGGGTATAGGGCAGCATGATGTGAGTCTGGATCTGGAAGCTGCGACAGGTGGTAGCCCCATCGGAGAGATGTCCACCCCACCCTGTGTACGGGGAGAAGCACCCTGTAGGTGGGCAATTCGCTGAAAGATGCAGTGGTTAAGGTTGGTGCCTCCCTGCGTGGAGCTACGCTCTGGAGCCCTGTTATTCCAGCCTTTGGGTCTCCCTTCAGCTTGCCTGACCCCTGGCCTTGCCTCTGGGCCTGAGCTGTGGGTTCCAGGCTTCTCTTTCTGTCCTCCAGGCTGAAAACTCCAAATCTCTGTGTGATCCCCAAGGACAAGGTGCTCTGAGGATCCAGCAGGGTGAGCCCAAAGCAGGGCTGGGATCCGGGGACCCTGTGCACGCAGGAACAGAACCTCTGCACAGCCCCCACAACCCTCCAGCGTGGCCCAGACCCCCAGCAGCACTGGAGCTTGTAGACCTGCAGATGGCCCGCCCCAACCCAGACTTTTGGAATCAGTAGGTTTGGGGTGGGCCAGCGATCTGTGTTAACAAGCTCTCCAGGTGACCGTGGTCAAGTTCCAGAATGCTGTGTGGATATGGAGTGGGGAGCCCAGAAAGGGACCCTAAAAGTGGGCTGGGAAATGCGCGGGTGGGGTCCAGCTCAGGCCCTGGGGTTCCACAGGCTGTGTGACCGACTGTGGCTCAGCCTGGGTGGATGGGGCCTCATCGGGACCATGGGGACGATCACCTCAACAGGTAGTCGAGGTCGTTACGGGCATCCTGGGTTGATGACTGCAGCACCCCTCGCCCCTGGTGTGGACTCGCCCCCTTGAGAGGAGGGAGCCGTTAGGCCCAAGGTGGCGAAATCCACAGACCCAGGCCTGCTCCAGGTTGCCAGCGGGGACAGCGCGGGGCTGGGGGGATGACTCGGAGGTGGCTGCACAGCCCTTCCCCAAAGTCTCTTGTTCGGTCTCGGCGACTCTGGCCTCGGGAGGGGCTCCTGACGCAGAGCTGAGCCTGCTTTCAGGTCGGCAACAACCGATGGGTTGACTGACAGCTCTGCGACCCGACCCCTGGGGGAGGGAGCTCCTTGGCCCCGACCCTGGGAGACCAGGGACCCTCGCCCGGCCTCGCTCAGGGCAGGGCACGCGGGG